CACAGATGCTTAGGAGGCAGTCTAACTAATGGCATGATAATCCTCCACCCCCGAAAAATCTGGCTTATTGTATTCAATTCCAATTCAGACTATCAGATTCAAGAATTAACATAATTGTGAAAAGTGAATCTCTTAAATGCTGCATGAATTTGCTTTTGTCTACCTGTATTTCAGCAGGTTGAAAATAGTAATGCTAGTAGTGCAGTATATCCATTGAGTTGTATTGACATGATTAAAGCTGTGGCTTATCTTGGTCACTTTATTTCTGTTGTCAGTAATGGAATTTTAATGAGACTTTGCATAAAAGTACAAATTTTAAATCTCTACTATAGAAGTATATTTTGGTCTATTAAATAACTCTCCCCTTAATACATTGCCGTACTGTTATCACCATTTTCAGACTTGGAAGGGTGGAGGGAGGAACCTACAACTATCAATGCAAGTCCCATAATTTGAGACAAATGATAATTGTATGTTTTGTCATTGTATTTATTTATTATCTCATGTCGCTGCATGACAATTTAAAAATGTAGCTTCGTAGATATTTTGTTTTGTTTCATTTTGTGGCATATTTTTCGACACTTCAAGATTCTCGTCAGGACCTTCTAGTGTGCACAGTGGAAATTTGCACTTTTTTAAAAGCACGCTTTGGAGACAAGAATTTTAAATTTCATTATTTTTCGAATAGAATCCATTTTATCTGGTTCAAGGTTTTTCTTGAAAGCAGATGTCTTTCATTGAATTGTGCTCTCTATCAGAAATATTTTGTAGAGGTATCAAATTAACATACTGATGCAAAGAAGGTGTTTGTTTTCAGGCATGACTCAAACTAGGGACAGAAATATAAAATAGATAATTTCAGCAGTGAATTCAGGTGGAACTTACTAATAGAGAGGATAGTTTGAAGCAGTTAGCTATGGTATAGTTAAAGGAAGCTCGATAAATGCATGCTACAGAAAGGAGAAGTAGCATACTGAGCTAGATGAACAGACATGGGAGAGGGGGAATTTTTTTTAAAAATTCACTCTTGGGACGTGGGCTGGCCCACATTTATTGCCCATCCCTAGCTGCCCTTTAAGAAGGTGGTGGTGAGCTGCCTTCTTGAACCTTTGCAGTCCATGTGCTGTAACTTGACCCACAATGCCCTTAGGAAGGGAATTCCAGTATTTTGACCCAGTGACTATGAAGGAACGGAGATGGGTTTCCAAGTCAGGATGGTGTTTGGCTTGGATGGGATCTTGCAGCTGTTGGTGTTCCCATATATTTGCTGCCCATGACCTTTTAGATGGAGGTTGTCATGGGTTTGTAAGTTGCTGTCTAGGGATCTTTGGTGAATTTCTGCTGTGCATCATGTAGATAGTACACACTGCTGCTAATGAGTGTAAGTGGTGAAGGGAGTGGATGCTAATGGATGTGGTGCCAATCAAGCAGGCTGCTTTGTCCTGGATGGTGTCAACCTTTCTTGAATGTTGTTGAAGCTGCATCCAGCTAGGCAAGTGGGAAGTATTCCGTTACACTCCTGACTTGTGCCTTGTAGATTGTTAATAGGCTTTGGGGAGTCAGGAGATGAGTTACTCACTGCAGTATTCCTAGCCTCAAATCTGCTCTTGAAGCAACTGTGTTTGTGGTAGGTCCAGTTGAGTTTCTGGTCAGTGGTAACCCCAAGGATCCTGTGGCTTCGGGGATGGATGGTAGCACCATTGAATGTCAAGGGGCAGTGGTTAGATAGTCTCTCATTGAGGACGGTCATTGTTTGGCCTTTGTGTGGTACGAATGTTACTTGTCTCTCCTTGGTGATGGTCATTGCCTGGCATTTATATGGCACGAATGTTACTTGGCACTTGCCAGCCCAAGCTTGGATATTGTCCAAATCTTGTTGCATTTGAACACAAACTGCTTTGGTATCAGAGGAGTTGCGAAAAGTGCTGAACATCGTGCAATCCTTAGTGAACATCCCCAATTGTGACCTTGTGATAGAGGAAATGTCATTGATGAAGCAACTGAAGATGATTGGGCTGAGGACACTTTACTGAGGAACTCCTGCAGAGAATTCCTGGAGCTGAGATGACCTCCAACAATTACAACCATCTTCTTGTGTGCCAGGTATGACTCCACCCAGTGGAGAATTTGTCCCCTGATGCCCATTGATTCCAATTTTGCTAGGGCTACTTGATACCACACTTGGTCGAATGCAGCCTTGATGTCGAGGACTGTCAGTTTTACATCATCTCTGAAACTCAGCTCTTTTGTCCATGTTTGAACCAAGGTTGTAATGACGTAGGAACTGAGTTGCCAAGGCAAACTTAAACTGAGGTCACTGAGTGGATTATTGCTGAGCAGGTGCCATCACTTTACTGATGATTGAGACCAGACTGATGGAGCAGTAATTGGCCATGTTGGATTTGTCATGCTTTTTGTATACAGGAAATACCTAGGCAATTTTCCACATTGTCAGTGTTGTAATTATACTGGAACAGTTTGGCTCGGGGTGCAACAAGTTCTGAAGCACAAAACTTCAGTACTGTTACCAGAATGTTGTCAGGGCCCATAGCCTTTGCAGTGTCCATTGCCTCCACTGTTTCTTGATATCATGTCGAGTGAAATGAAATGGCTGAAGACTAACATCTGTGATGCTGTGAACCATGGGAAAAGGCAGAGTTGGATCATCCAATTGGCACTTCTGACTGAAGATTGGTGTGAATGTTTCAGCCTTATCTTTTGCACTGATTTGTTGGGTTCTTCCATCATTGAGGATGGGGATATTTGTGGGGCCTCCTCCTCCAGTAAGTTGTTTAATTGCCCAATACCATTCATGACAGAAACAAAAACAGAAATTGCTGGAAAAGCTCAGCAGATCTGGCAGCATCTGTGGAGAGAAATCAGTTAATGTTTCGGGTCCAGAGACTCTTCCTCAGAACAGACCTCAGCATTAACTCTGATTTCTCTCCACAGATGCTGCCAGATTTGCTGAGCTTTTCCGGCAATTTCTGTTTTCATTTCTGATCTCCACCATCCACAGTTCTTTCTGTTTTTATTTACTGTTCAAGACCTGATGTTGCAGGACTGCAGAGCTTAGATTTGATCTGTTGATAGTGGGATACTTAGCTTAGTCTATCACTTGCTACTTGTGCTGATCGGCATGCAAGTAGTCCTGTTTGGTAGCTTCACCAGGTTGACACCTCATTTTTAGGTATGCCTGGTGCTGCTCCTGGCATGTCTTCCTACACTCTCCGTTGAACCAGGTTTGATCTCCTGGCTTGATGGAATGGTTGAGTGGGGGATATGCCAGGCCATGAGGTTGCAGAATGTGCTGAAATACAGTTCTGCTGCTGTTGATGGCCTCCACCTCATGGAAGTCTAGTCTTGAGTTGCTTGATCTATTAAAACTCTATCCCTTTAGCACAGAAGTTACAATGTGCTGTTGGGACTTGGTCACCACAAAGATTATGCAGCCGTCACTCTTACTGATACTGTCATGGACAGATGCACCTGCAGCGGCAGATTGGTAAAGATGATGTCAAGTACGTTTCTTCCTGATGTTGGTTCCTCACCATCTTCTGCAGGGTCAGTCTAGCAGCTGTGTATTTTAGGACCTAGCCAGCTTGATTAATAGTGTTGCTGCTGAGCCACTCTTGGTGATGGACATTGAAATCCCCCACCCAGAGTACATCTTATGCCCTTGCCATCCTCAGTGCTTCCTCCAAATGTTGTTGTCAACAGGAGGATTACAGATTCATCAGCTGAAGGAGGACGGTATGTGGTAATCAGCAGGAGGTTTCCTTCCCCATGTTTAAGCTGAAGCCATGTGACATCATGGGGTCTAGAGTCAATATTGAGGACTCCAAGGGCAACTCCCTCCCAACTGTATACCACCGTGCTGCCACTTCTGTTGGTCTGTTCTGCTGGCGCAACAGGATGCATCCAGGGATGGTGATGGGGATGTCTGGAATGCTGTCTATAAGGTACGATCTTGTGAGTATGGTTATGCCAGGCTGTTGTGAGACAGTTCTCCCAATTTTGGCACTAGTCCCCATATGTTATTAAGGAAGGCTTTGCAGGGTCTGCCGAAGCATAAACTGGAGCATAATCACAGACACCATCCTGTTGGTATAAGTAGCTTTTAAGTGTGTTTCCAATACTTTGTAATCTCACATTCACAGAATAAATTATAGTTATTTGATATACAGGATCCACAACTGCTATGAGTGGCTCAATTCCACAACCTTCTAGCCTGGATAAGAAAGCTACCAATTGATCTAGTCCAAATGTGAGCTTGGCCATATCAAATTGAAGGATGAATGACAAACAGAATGGTAGATTATCAATGGGTAACATCTAATCAACAAAACAAACAGTCCAAATCAAATGTGTTCTGGAGAACAGAAGGAACAGCATGAAAGATTGGGTTCCAAATTATACACTAGAAAGAGAAATTCGATCAATTTTGGTGCTTAAATTAACCAGTATTTTTTAAATAAATACAGAAAAATTACAGAACCTTATGCATTTACACAACTTTTAATGCAAGTATAAATCTGCTTCCATAGTTATTAGTAACTAACTTATTTACCACAATTATCACATTCTGTGTAGAATCTGCTCTTCCCTTCATGTAACATTTTTCTTTCATTAATCCTGCGAACCAGCTGCTTTGCAAGAAGAAATGTGTGGGAATACTGTCTTCTCAGTCTGATTTTAATACAGCAGCAATTACTTCCTCAGTGGGAGAGATCAGTTATGAAAACAGTTGGAATATTTTAACTGATTTTCCCTGAAAGACAATTCATGACTCGTTTGGATAGACCTGGGAACATTTTGTTTGGCCTCCACCATAAATTGGTGGATAGGTAGCAAAGAGAAAATGGGGCAGAAAAATTGGAAATATGGTTTTGTCCCGTTTTTTAAAAAAATTCCCTTTGCGTATTTTGTGAAAGTCCTTTTTAAATTCCTAAGCAATGAATGTAAAAATGTTTTCACAGCCTTTTATTTTTGCATTTTAGGGCTTTTGATGTGGAGCTCCTCTACATTGCCCAGTGTTTAAAGATTCCAATTGCAGAAGTTGCTGTGCAATGGACAGAAATAGAGGGTAAGTTATTTAAACTACCAGAAAAGCAGAGACTAATAGCAAGGAAGCAGGGTCACTTCTAGCAACTGGGTAATTAGTACTAAGATATATTATTTCCATTGCTTATGCCATGATTGCAGCTGTGGATTTTGCTTAAATGTGTAGCATTCATGCACTAATTTGGAAATTAGTTGTGTTTTTGCTCCTGTTATTAGCAGTTTTATCTGGGAATGGTGTCAAACAGGAAGTAAAATCTTAAGGATATTTGCTTATCTCTCCAAGCAATCAGCTTAGAATCTGCTTTGGAAGTGAGCAATACTTGTTTTTTTTTTCAGGTGGATCATACTGGGGGAGATGAATTACAACAGTATTAGGCAGAAACTGGAGAAACTAGATTGGGGTGGCTGTTTGAGGGTAAATCTACCTCTGATGTGTGGGAGTCTTTTAAGGACCAGAGTTCAGCTTAAGGATGAAAGATAAGGATGTCAAGATTCGGGAACCCTGGATGACGAGATATTGAAAGTTTAATCAAAAAGATAAAGAAGCATATGAAAGGTTTAGGAAATATAAAGGAAGCAATAAAGAACATAAACAAGTAATTAGGGCTAAAAAGGGGCATGAAATGTCCTTGGTAAGTCATATTAAGGAGACTCCCAAGGCACCTCTGTCTTAAATGAGCAACTCCTTACTCTGAGATAATCCCCTCTAGTCCTAGACTGTCCCACAGGAGAAACAACCTTCTGCGTCTACCTTTTCAAGTCCAAAAGAATTTTCTATGTTTCAATAAGGTCGCCTCTCATTCTTGTATATTTTACCAAGTACAGGCCCAATATACTCGATCTCTCCTCATTAAACAATCCCTCCATACCTGGTATCAGCCTTGTAAACCTTCTCTAGACTGCCTCCAATGCCAGTATATCTTTTTTGAGATGATCAAGTGTATGGCCCTCCAATGGAATGAATGCAGTCGCCTTTTAAATTTGTGAAATTGGTTCTACATTTTATTTGCTCTAGAAAATAATGATGCAATTGAAACCCACACCACCTACCCATTAATTGAAAAAAAAATCATATATTTATTATGTGCAAATGTTTTCAATGAGTTGCCTAGATAAATGATCAATGTAATTCTAAGCAGACTAATAACTTTGTTATTCTCAGATACTGACAAACGTGCCCTGATAGTTCCTGACCCTCACTTTTACATTAGTTTTAAAGTTCAGCTCAATCTGTTTGTTATTTTCCTCCATCAGAAGCATAACTTTTTCGTCTTAAATTTGGTATTTTTGAATGGGATAGACCATGCCACTGCTAGGTGGAGCACTGAGCATGTAAACTCAGAAATAGAGCAATGCAGTGCCATGTCGAGCGATCAAGCAGCAGCTAACTGTCCTAAAGGTGAGACCAGTCATCTGCTCATGGGGTGGAAACAAACTGTAGCATCACCACACTGTGCAGGCAGTCATTCAAGATGGCCAGCAAGAGTCATCGACAGTCCTATCAGTCTCCTGTGATAGGAATCTTGTGTGTGCCAGTATGCCTTTTGTGTGTGCATGAGTGATGTCATCACTGGCACACTGGCTTCCACTATGATAAAATGGCAGAATGAGAAGTGTTATTTGTACCATTTGTAAACAGTAAGACGTAAAATCTTCAATTCTAACTCAGTCTGTCAGAACATCCCTGTATTTCTAATAGGCTGCCAGAATTTGTGTCTGCCCTGTGAATATATGGGTGGTGCCATCTTTATATGGCTGCTCCATGGTCACTTAACAGTGACGTAGCACTGCAACAGTATATCTGTGCATTCCGCTGGTGTGCTCCATCTAGTGGAGACGTTGCTGATAAACTCATCCATTTCCATTACTGTACTTCACTTGTGCCCTGATGAAGATTGATATACGTTTAATTTCATTTTGAACCTTAAGGTTGAAATAGTATTTTCCCTTGCACATATCCACATATATTCAATCACACATAAGCCTTCAAAGTACACCTTTTCCCATTAACTTTGCTCCTTGTGGAAGATGGAGGCTGCTTATATAGCTGTGCCCAATTGGCTAAAATGGCTAATGACAGAAAATTGAAGATATTTATTTCAATGCGCTGTTGATGCTTCAGCACTTCTCCAAAGACAAAATTGCTTCAGGAGTGGAAAATCAAATTTCTGATCTTAATCTAATTGACCACAAGACAATATAATGTGAAAATCAGATGTTGTGCTGGCCCAATGGTAGTGCTTTTTGACAGTTGATTGTTTATCCTTCATCTGAAGCATTCCACACGTGGCCTACTAACGTTTGTGTTCAAACTGGGGGGAAATATAACTTTCCCGGTCCTGCAGTCATTGTCAGATGTTGGGCCATCTTGATCTGGAGCAAGGTTACATTTGAAAGAAAGAACAAAAAGTAATGTTTTTAAAATTCCAGAGCTGTGAATTTTAATTATAAAGATATAAAGTAGTGTAACTAAATTATTCTGTATATATATGTATGTACGTGTGTGTAACCTTTTGTGAACAAAATCACGGCTATATTCATAATAAGAACCTTTTAACGATTTTACAGTCTTGTGTTCTAAAATGACTGAGGACATTTTGTAAACCAGCAATATATTTTGCAGGCCAAATGCAGCATTAGTGTGATTTCCTTTCATTTTACATTGTTTGCCTTGTAGGATCAAAATTAATTCCATTCTGGAGTTGGTTACAGATGGGTAAAGATCTTCTCTTCATTCGTTTACGTTACTTCACGGGTGCCTGGAATCTGGAAATGCCCAAAAAAGTCATCTAAGTTATTGCGCAGTAACTGTTCATGAAGATGGAAGGACATATAACATTACTGAAATATAATCAAGGAACATGGTGACACAAGATATTTTATGGTGGATGGTAAAAACTGTTTTCTTTCTGCATTCATATTGCAGTATTTTCTTTGTTTTTTTGTAAATTGCATACCGGTGAATAAAGTGAAAACTTTCTATCTAGGTTGTACCTTTGGGTAAGTCAAAGATAAAATGTTGAGTGACCAGATTGAGACAGCAGAAGGATTACGTTTGAGTACTGGTCCTGTCTACATCAATATTACAAGGAGGTTTCTTGGTTTACTTCTGACCGTAAATTAAACTACATTAACAAAATGTGCATTAATGATGTGTATTTTAGGGATATCATAGAATCCCTTTAAGTGTGGAAACAGGCCATTTGGCCCAACATGTCCACATTGACTCTCTGAAAAGCATCCCATCCAGACTCATCCCCTTACCCTATCTCTGCATTTCCCATGGCTCATCCACCTAACCTACACATCCCTGGACACTATGGGGCAATTTAGCATGACCAATCCACCTAACCCACACATCTTTGGACTGTGGAAGGAAACTGGAGCACCTGAAGGAAACGTACGCAGACAAGCACTGTGAGGCAGCAGTGCTAACCACTGAGCCACCATGCTGCCCCTTAAAAATACTTTCTTTGGTGTTTTATGGTTGTCAAATGCCAGGAAATTGCCATACCACATTATGGATGAAGCATGGGGTAAATGATTAACTCATTATATGTTTGTTCTTATTCCTTTCAATTCTTTTGTATATGGATGCTTCAGTTTTACCATTAATTCTGGAGCAGTTTTGATTCCTAAGTGCAATTTTTAATGGCTGGAATTGAAAGCCAATGTAATGAGATTTATATTAATGGAGGGTTATTGCAATGGTTGATTCATAGTTAAAGCTTTTATTTGAAAAGCTGGAACTTGTCTGAAGTCCTTAAAACTTGAATTAATATTTTATTCACGTATTTTAATTAAAAGTAAAAGTTACATTTGTAAAACACCTCTCTCTGTATTTTCAACAAATGCATATAGATTTAAAGTTAGAAACTTTAATACTTACTAACACAAGAACCACAACACACCATAGATATAGGAGCAGAATGAGGCCATTTAAACATGGCTGATATATTTCTCAACCCCATGCTCCTGCCTTCTCTGCATAGCCCCTGATCCCCTTACCAATCAAGAACCTATCTATCTCTATTAAATACACTCAAATGACTTGGCCTCCAAGCTCTCTGCAACAATAATTTCCAGATTAACCTCAATCCAGCTAAAGAAATTCCCTCACGCTGAGGTTGTGTCCTTGGGTCCTAGTGTTTCCTACTAGTGAAAATATCTTCTCCACATCCACTCTATCCAGGCATCGTGGTATTCTGTAAGTTTCAATGAGAACCCCCTCCCCTCTCGTCCTTATAAACTCCATCAAGTACTGACCCAGAGTCCTCAACCGCTGCTCATATGGCAAATCCTTCATCCCCTGGATCGATCATGCAAATCACCTCTGGCCCCCTTCCAACGTCAGCACATCCTTCCAAGATATGAGGCCCAAAACTGTTCACAGTACTCCAGATACAGTCTGACCAGAGCCTTATATAGCCTTAACAGTCTATCTCTGCTCCTGTATTTTAGCCCTCTTGAAATGAATACCAGAACTGCATTTGCCTTCCTAACCACCAAGTGAATCTGCATAGTAACCTTATGAGAATCCTGACCTAGGGCACTTTGCGCTTCTGATTTCCAAAGCCTTTCCCCGTTTAGAAAAAGTCTATGCCTCCATTCTTCCTACCACTCACTTTCCCACATTGAATTACAATTGCGACTTCTTTACCCACCCTCCTAACCTGTCCAAGTCCTCTACCACCTCCCTGCTTCCTCCACGCTACCTGTCCCTTCACCCATCTTTGTCATCTGCAAACTTAGCACCAATGCCCTCAGTTCCTTCATCCAGATCATTAATGTATAATGTGAATAGTTCTGTGGTCCCAACACAGACCCCACCGGTTGCCATCCTGAAAAAGACCCCTTTATTCCCACTGTTTCCCTTTTGCCAGTTAGCCAATCCTCTATCTATGCCAGAACCTTGTGCCTTACACTATGGGTTCTTATTTAGCAGCCTCATGTCTACATAGTGTCAACACACCTACTGTTTTCAAAATGTACATGTGGGTTTACTGGCTGAAACTCTACTTCCAAAGTGTTTGTATTGTTCAGTATCTGATACAGTATCTAAATACTTCAAAGTAATATTGAGATTCAAAGCAAGGTACAAGAAACAGGCATATTTTAACGTGATGAAGTCCAGCCAATTTCCTATTTTCAATTTGAGCTTTAGTATGTCTTTATATAAACAATGTTTGAGGTTGTAAGAAATGTAAAAAATCAAAGCAAAAATTAGCAAGAGGTGCAATGTTGAAGGTGAACAATGATGATGTCATCAATATTGCCTTTACTCTTTTGATCCTAATCTCTTGATTTAATGTAGAATTCTAGTTTAACTTTGTAGCCATTATCTTTTATATACATCTACAAGATAGATAAACAGGCTATAAAACCCAAACTTATTCAGTTTTTAGTCATAACTCATATCTGGCATGACTGAAATAGCTTCTGCATACCCTGTCTTCTGCACTTCAGTGCTTGAATGGAAGACCCTTTTTAAAATGGACTGATTGCTGTACACTGATGTTAAGTTGTGGCCTTTGTGTGTCATCTGACCAATGATCTTAACTCAGCCAGTTGGGAAGTGCTATGGAAGACCTGGTCAAATGTCAGCGGCCCAAAGAAATTCTTCATTCTCTGTCTCTTTCACAAGATGTCGGCATCAGTCCTCAATGCTTATATAGCAGAATCCTTCAAGGTCAAGACAGGAGTCAAGCAGGAATGTGTCAGTGCCCCCACCCTTTCCTCCATCTTCATTGCCACAATGCTTCATCTTGTCAAGTACAAGTTTCCCAGGGTTGTTGACATTGTCTACAGGGTGGACATGGCTTATCAGCTACACAAGGACCCACAAAATCCCTGACCAGTGACACAGAATTACCTAAGTGGACAATTGTATCATTAGCGATTAATTGCCGATGACAGTATTGCCGTTTGATGAATAGCACGCAGTCAGGAAATTTATGTGAAATTTCAGATTTCACATAAATCAGATATCAACAAGGTTTATTCCAACTCTTACGAATTCCAGAATAAAACATTGCTGAGAAAATGTGCTATGGAATATTTACATATTTAGATCTACACCTTCACAGGTTCAACAGGTTCCAGAGCTCCAAAAATTCACAATGAATTGTTCATTATACATTAAAACTAACCTATCAAAATTCACTTTTGTAAGCACATCATTTGCAAACAATATGGGAATTTGAGCATGCTGAATAGCAACAATTACTTCATCCAGGCCAAGAAAATTTGATATCCAGTCTATGTCTTGTGCTTGATTGTTGGTCATTACAACTGAGATGAGGTAATGCTAAAGCTGATTTTTCTCCTTAGAGTCAAAGCAAGGACAAATCAAACTATCTTCACTTCTCATCACAATCCAGTAACACCTACTGAAAGATGTATATGTAAACTTCTGGCTTGACTGTGATTCTGTTAGTGCATAATAAAAACCTCAACATTGAGAATTAGCTACTTGGATGATACAGTGGAAGGCCAGTGATGGCTGTGTAGTTCATATCTACAAGCAATTAGTTTGATTAGGAATTATGCTGAAATTGGTCAGAAAAAGAAACTAGGGAGTGAGAAACTTAAAGCCATTTAAGTTAGCAGAAAAAGGGCACTGAACAAATTATTAGTCCTAAAATCTAACAAGTACCTGGCCCTGATGGACTTTATCTTAGGGTGTTTTTAAAAAATGGCTGTTGAGATATTAGATACATTGCTTTTAGTTTACCAAAATTCTCAAGATTCTGGAAAGGTTCCAACAGAATGGAAAGTAGTAATTGTGACTCCTGTGCTAAAAAGGGGGAGGGGGAGACAGAAATCTGAAACTATAGGTCGGTTAGACTAATATCTGTCATTGGGAAAACGTTGGCACCTTTTAAGATTATAGTAAATTACTTGGAAAAATCTTACTGCAGTCAAAGTTCACATGATTTTGTGAAAAAAAAGTTTAATTTTTTTAGAATTCTTCGAGGAAGTAAGCAAGACAGATGAAGGGGTACTGGTCAGTGTACTCTATTTAGATTTCTATAAGATACTAAGCAGTACCACAAAGGTCACTGCACAATAAAAGCTTATGATGTAAGAGGTAATGAATTAGTACGGATAGAGGACTAGTTAGCTTATAGGAAGCAAAGGATGGGCATAAATGGATCATTTGCAGACTGGCAGAACATGATGAATGGTGTGCCACAGGGATTGGTTTTTTAAGTTTCAGGGTCTCAATTATTTGAAATCTATATAAATGACTTGAATGAAAGAGGCAATATATGGTTGCTCAATTTACCTATATAAAGTTGGGTAAAAAAGTAAGTTGTGAGGAGAACTGAAGGAGTTTGCAAAGATATAAACATGGGTTTGCTGTATTCTGTTTTTTAAAAAAAGTACGTGGGAAATAAAGTGGGAAAATGTGAATTTGTCCATTTTGGCATGAAGAGTAAAAAAGCAACATTCTTTAAATAGACATTGCAGAAATTAATGAGATGACTTGATTGAAACAAGGCAATATGATTTAAACATTCAAGATCTTTAGGAGGGCTCTTGTGCTACAGCTGTGTTCCCCCTCCCTCTGGGCTCAAGCCCTACCTGCTCCAGTGATATGTTATAACATGCCTGAGCAGGTTGATTAAAACTATCTGTAAGATCCCAAGGGGCTTTGACTGTGTGCATGGAGAAAGGCTGCTTCATCTTGTGGGAAAATCTAGCAGTTATAGCAGGGGACTTAGAAAATCTCAGATTCTAGTCTTTTTTTCTAAAGTGAGTTACCTGTTTACGATGGAGATAAGTTTATATTAAAAAAATTCTCATGGAGAGTCATGGTTTCCTGCAGCACCATTGGCCCCCTTGCTCCTCCACCACCTCTGCCAAAAGTATAAAGACCACCATTATCCAACACCTTTCAGCTCTGAAGAGTCATGTTGGACTCCACATTAGCTTTGTTTCTCTTTCCACAGAAACCATCAGACTTCCTGAGTTTCCCCAGCATTTTCTGTATTAGGGACATTTTACTATGGTTGTATAGAGTGTTGATAAGGTGACATCAGAGTACAGTGTACAGTTTTGGTCTTATTTAAGAAATTATGGGTAAATGCATTTTAAAAGAAGTTCTGGGAAGGTTCACAACTGTTATCTGGGAAT